GAGAGGAATTCGATGGTTTAGTGGAGCCCCATAGCTCAACTCCGTAAGTCCAAACCGGCCTTATTATATTCATGTACATGAGTCTTTTGTAATTAATTGAAAGTTTAAAGCGTTTGTCTGGTAAGGGCTTAAGTAATCGGAAACGTCGAGCGGTTTCTTGTCATTTCAATGTGGTATGAGAATATTTAAAGTTAATAAGCGAAAATAGTTCTGATCACTTTCCTAAAATACGTTGACAGCATTTTTAGTAATATTACTTTAATGCGATGTAACAAAAGTTTGGTTGATAGAGCTATCCGGAGGACGTGATGATTCTCCTCCTTCCACAACCGTTGACCAAAAAATAGTGCTGAACCGAGAAATTTCTATACCAGGAATAATGGAGTGCCATGGTTGTTAATAATACCTTTTTGAGGTGAAAAGTTCTTTAGGCACGTTTTACAATATTTTTGTGGAGAGTAAATTAGATTGAGGTAGGTGGAGTCGACTAATTAAAGTATTTTCGGATATGAATTAAAATACCTCAAAATCTTAAATCGGACCTGCATATTGTTAAGGAGGGAAATGAATCTTAACGCGACACCGTTTAGGGAGGAGAAAAGGAAAAAAATAATGTCGAAAACCAAATGATGAAGATATGGATTAAAATATTTCAGAAACTAAAAATCGGTCCTGCATACTGTAAGCGAAATAATTGTTCAGCAATTCATCCTCTCTGTAATGGACTATTATTGTTGGGGCCAGGGGTACTTCAAAATCGAAGTACAAATCTTTCCCCGGTGCGTTTCCTCAATGGTGGAGAAAATTGGAGTAAAATTAAAAATGTTGGGAAAGAGGGAAAAAAAAAGAAGAGAAAAAATGAGACCTGTAAACATAAAAAATGTGCATGCACAAGAAAATATTAAAATAAAAATATTTCAATAAATAAAAAATGGAAAATAAAAAATCCCCTTTTGAGCTTTTACAATTTATTAAATAAAAAGGATCTAATTATGTACAAGAGTTAAAATAAATATTGGTGTAAAGTTGCGAGAGAAATAAAACATAATTCATCAAGTCTGTGTCTTGATTAACTGCGTGATAGACGCAAAAGACTTATGAATTGATTCGTAAGATTTGTAATTGGAACCCCGAGACGCTCCCGTGTCTCCCACCACTACACTGAGTTAGGGTGGCTCTTCCCCTCCTTAAGAAGACAATATTTCCTTGGCACTTTCCTTTATCAAATCATTACCGATCATCGTCCTTCTTATGCCTACAACCTTCTCCAATTTAAGTCCTCAATCCATTCACTCACTACAAGATCCCGACCCTCTGACCTATACATCCCTTCTCATAGATCTGCCTCATTCCAAAATTCCTTTATAGCCCGCTATGTCAACTTTTGGAATTCCCTCCCGATCAAAATTCGACATGCCCCTTCCCTATATACATTCAAAAACCTCCTATTCCAATTCCTGTTCCAAAAACAATCTGATACAAGCTAACTATTGATATTATATATGTATTGTGTAGCAATCATATAATCATAACACTTGGTAAGAGATAGTACATGCATTTCCTACTATCGACGTAGGAATTTCAATACATACATTTTTTTTTTTTTTTTTTTTTATTCAATTATAAGTAACTGTTTACTTTTATATATATATTCAAGTAAAGTTTTTTTGTTTGTTTTTTTTTTATGAAATGAACTCATTGTATCTCTTTTTCGTTCTTCATTTCTCAAAGTATATGTTTATGTTGTTCAACCCTTAAATATAATTTTGTTCATAGTTCAAGTGATTCGTTCATAGTTTTAATTGTTTTGTTCATAATTTTAAATGCTCTGTACATAGTTTTGTCTGTTTGTATATAGCTTGTGCACCTAAGGTTTTCTTTACTTTTTATTTTATTTTATCAATTTTATTTATTGTTTCAACGTTCAGGCCAGTAATATTCTATTATTTTGTACATTATTGTTATTCTGAAGGGACTTAGTCCCAGAATAAAGTTTTTTTTTCTATCTATCTATCTATCTATCTAAATACAATATCTAGTGAAAATAAAAACAAATTAACATTAGGGAAAACATATATAAATAAACCTAGCTTCTAAAATTATAAACAAAATCAAGAGAAAGAAAAATAACTATCCAAAATAACAAAAGTAATTTATTGAGAGAACCGAACACTGACTAAATGTTCAAATGTCTTGGTGAGAATAAAAAACAAAATACGAGCCAGGTTGGAGGTTCTGCTTCCAACCCGGTGGTTACCTTCTATGATGTTTCACAGTCGATGGTGAGAAAGTATCGAATCGATATCCTATCGATCTCGATCGACGACTGACGATGCGCCGAACAGCTGATATAAAAAAAATGGCGCTAGGTGAAATGTGGTGAGTCTGGACTGGTGGGGGCAGACGTCTTCACATAGACTTGGTGTAAACAAAGTCTAGCTCCAGACTGAGGACCCTGCAGTATTTGTGTCTTAATCCCTAAGACAGGGTATTACTGCCGGGCTGGAGCGTATACACAAACGCGATAATACATCGTAAAATAATCCTACATCTATAAACAATGTAAAATTCTGGGACAATTATCTCTCAGTTTTTAACATTTAAAAAATGGGTGAGTGGTGAGAAAAATAATACTAAAAAAAATAAAGATATGAGTATGCGGCGTTAACAATTATTGAAAGTGAGGATTGAAGACCTAGCGCCTTCAAAGATTAAGGCTACAGTACCCGCAGAGCTGTTGTGTTTTGTTGGCTTAACAGTCTTTCAGCCTGCAGGCTTCAAATTTATTACCGAAATTAGTTTCGAAAAGTTAAAAATCCTTTATTTTATTGACAATAAATTCTTTTTATTTGAAATGTACCTATACTTTGAATATTTCTTTACGAATTAAAAATAGGAGTAGTGTATAACTCAATAATATTTAAAAACGGTTATGATAAACTAAGAAAGGAAACAAAAAATCACCATTATTTTTTACTAAATATAGCTAATATATTGATTATATTATTGAAAATAAAATGTTACTTTAAATTAAAAATATAAAAGTATCTGATAAGACCAATGGTGTGCTATGAAGAAACTTGGACGTTGAAAGTCTCGAACGAATTAACCCTAAGGGTCTTTGAGATAAGAATATTAATACGTATTTTCTGCCCAGTATAATCAGAGATCATCTGGAAAATCATAAATAGGGAACTTGATAACCTGATAGGGCATGAGGATATAGTCAGATTTCTTAAATAAAGTTGGCTTGGTCATATTGACAGGTTGCCAGAAGGGCAAAGCAAGGGATCAAATCACTTGTTTAATGCTCAGACTTTAGTAAACACTTTTATTCATATTTACTTAATTTTTAATTCACTTTTAATGTTAAAGAGGAAGGTTTTAAGTATAAAAAAGTATGTATTGGATAGAATAGATAGATTTTTCTCTATCCGATAGAGCTCAGAAACCTCTTCAGGTCGAACAATCCTAGAAGAAGTCCCACAAGAATTAAACAATCCACCACCGTCTAGACATTAAGAGACTGCAACCAAGGGAATCTATTTTCCGATAATCTCTTCCTTATATATATTTTTTCTCTCTCGCATCTTATTTATAATCTTATTTTATTTTTTTATATATACTAACATCTGTATTACGTATATTTGCTAACATTAAAATTAAGATTAAATTATAAAAAACATTGTAAGAAATACACAATGTATGTTTTAGTATTTTTGTCTGTAAGAAAGGGCGATAGGTCCTAAGACAAATAAAAATCAATCAATCTCTATCCTTCTATATTTCTCTTTCTCTCCTTCTGTGTTTGTCTCTCTATATCACTCACTCTCTGAAAATTAATATTTATAGCGGATTTCAGTTTTCGTTCTTTACGATTTTTTCCAAGGTTTTTTTAAATATTTGAATTGATGTATTAAAAAACGAAATCGTAAACACTTTTTAATTAATTAATTAATTAATCATTAAAAGAGATAATGAAGGAGGATTCCCAAGTCAAAAGAAGAAGGCAACACCCTAGAACAAGCTGGTTGAAGGATGTGGAGCAGCACTTGGCTGAGCTTGGGGTGACTGCGGGGAGGAGGAAAGCGATGTATCGAGATGGCTGGAGACAGGGGGCCTAGGTTCATATTGAGTAGTAACGGTGGATAAGTAAGTAAGTAAATGTTACTTTAATGGTGCATATGCTACTAAATTGAAAACTAAATCACAAATATGTTCGGAGACAGAAAATAAATCAATAGGGTCATGTTAATTACAACACTACCCAATTCTATTTTCCCTAAAATAGACGATTAACAGTAGTTCCTTACGCCTGGTTAAAAGTAATCATACATATGTCCAATATATTGATATATTTATATTTAAATATGCCACCGATTCTAATATGGACCACCCAATGACTTTAGCCTTCTCTTGTTAGTTAGTATTCTTCCACATTTTAAGCTAATTATTGTTGGAAGATAAGACAGGAAACTTAGGCATCAATAAATCTTAAATATGTATAGGTGCTCTTTTGATGTAAATTATAGGGTTTGCTCATATTCTCTTATACCTCCTTAAGTTAATTTTTTTATGACTGATCAACACCGAGTAAAGAAGAAATGGAGTTTTTTCGATGTTTTTTTTATTCCATCTAATTTACGAGTGCAAACATACCTGATAGGTACATGTGGATGTATGGTATGCATACTGTACTGGAAATATTTTATAAAAAGGAAATACGCAATACACATATGTGGAGCAAACTCGCGGATGTGATATGTTGGGGGATTACTGTACTTCGAAAACGGCTTCTCCTGATGATTTTTTTTTCAACTAAACATTATATATCTTGAAATGTAAGTAATTTTGAATCGAACGAAAATGGAGAGGGAGGTATACTGCCTTTACTTGGCAGCAGTTTTTTTTTTTTATTGTTGTGTAGTTCTGTTTATCCAGATAATTTTTTTTTATTGTAGGTGTCTACATCCTATGATAGTAATATATCTTTTACTCACTCTGCTAAGGACTGCCAGATGACTAGGGCAGCCTTGATGAGCACCGAGTCACCTTCGAGGAAGAGGAGATCCCAGAGCCTGAGGACGGTCTGCTGCGGTAGGCAGTTGCAGAAGATGGTGAGGAACCACTGCATCGTAAACACGTCCATCAACGGCGGCTCGTAGCTGGTCCCTATTCAACAGGTTTTACTGTCAATTAATTGATGATAATAGTCTGTATAGAAACCAATACAGCAGGCAACATAGTTAATATAGTTTAGTGGATATATTGTAACTTGTTTAGGACATAAAAGTTTACAGCATTATAATATATTTAAAAATTATTAAGACGTTAAACTACTGATAGGGCGAAGCTCGCAGTTGTTGGTATCCCACAGTTTTCGGTAACCACTTCAATTATTGAAGAATAAATATATATATATATATATATATATATATATATATATATTTAAACTGATTTATTGAAAAATCATACATTCTTTCTCAAGGACATTTATAATAGTGTTCAGAGATCACATTCACACTCTATGTACAATAAATAAAATAAATTATACAAAAAAATAATATATATACAATAAATAAGAATTAAATAACCTAAAAATAAATATATAAATAGAACACATACATCTCTATATACAATATTTACAATCTAGCAAGATAACTCGAAACCAGACTTGTTACTCCAACTGTGGAGGTAAAAGCATGACTCCAGGAGATCTCTGCACTTCTCTCTCAAACGCGTCACTGGGGCTAAACCCAGTGGAGATTTAGCAAGAGTGCTTTAGCCACAAACACTCATGTCGTGAGTGGAGAATCTGGCCAATATTTACAAACTATAAAAGGTCGTGGAGCCACGGCCGTTTTAACCTTCTTGGAGGATTATAGGGATGGGTGGTGCTGGATAGGGATTGTGCAAAGTGATTTGGATGATGCGTAAGGTTCTGGTGAAATTTGGAGAATTTTGCTGGGAAAATTTGCATACCAGAAGAATATTAAAAGTTGGTCGAGAGCTGGCGATATGCGCTCATTTGAAGGAGAAAGCCCTTCTGCGCTCTCATATGCTTGCAGCTAACACTAATCATTTAGTTTTATAGATAAAAAAAAACGCTGAAGATAAGAAATCCGATGTGTTGGGCAAGAAGGACGGGTCTTACGTTTTCGGCAAAAAACACACTTTCATGTACACACATTTAAGTGTGAATAGAAATATCATTATAGTTCTTTCATTTAGAAGTGTGCCAGATTTAATTATTTAGATTTTTTGAAATTGAGGAGGGGTGCCGATAACAATTTTACAATAACAAAAAAATAAAAGAAAGCGTTTCACACATATATATTTATCACACAACAGATAAAATTGTTGAACCAAGTACCCAATTTTAAAGTCTCCTTAAGGATGCCGAAAACTGGAGGTTTTACCTTACATAGAATTTTATATTTGTGGAATCTGACAACATAAATTTTTGTAAATAAAGCCAAGCTTACCAGAATCCTTCGACTCTTGCTGGAGGTTGTCAAGGTGTCTTGACAATTCTGGAAGTTTGAGGCTAAGTAAATCCCTGAACACTGCCATATCAACCGACAGTCCCCGCAGGTTATCAGCAAAGTAAGATTCTGGAAGAACACCTTCGATGAGATAAATCATTACCTGGAAGAAAAATGGCTTTAATAGTAATTTATCATTTGATAAGTAGATCCTTAATTTTTGTTAGAACGCTCTAATGAATAGAAGCATTAAATATGTTATTATGATTGATAAATCTTGGACTAATAAAGTAATTTCAAGAAGAAACATAACTGACAGAGTTTCTCAAAATTAAGCATATCGGTAACAAGGTATTTTCATTATTTCAACATTTTTGTTTTGAACTACAGAGAACTAAAAAATAACACAATACAGCAGTATAAATTTCCGTTTTTTGCTCTCAAGAGCATTGGAATTTGGTGAATGAGGTATTAAACAAAAGAGATCAGGAAAAAAGTGACGAATGCCAATTTTAGAACCTAAAATCATAATACAACTATAATTGACGACATTGAAAAAATGTAGAGTTTTTAAAGCCCAGATAGTTTCAAATGTCGATGGATCAATATATTGTGTTTAAAAGATTGTGACGCGTGTGTTCCTTGGAACTATGCTTAGCTCTGCGTTTTGTAGCCCGAAAATATACTGTTTTCGAGATAAATCATAATTCTGACTTTTAAAATCTTTTATGAACCTATTATGATTTTCATGGGATGTTTATCACATATTTATGTTTAAAATATTAAAAATAAAATAAAATGTTAAAAAAACTATTTATGAACTAAAAAAGTGAATAGAAGAGTATAAATAGCAATCAGATCACTACCTCTGTTCCCTCTGTTTCTCAACCGATTTTCTTTCTTTTTTTCCGATTAGTAGTTATTGACGAGCTTAAGTGTTATCGATAAAAAAAAATGGAAACAGTGTATATAAATAAAAATGTGAATATTAGTTTGTTCAAAACTAATCTCCGAAAGTTCTTCACCAGGACAAAAAACCAGGACATTTTTTATATAAACTTTATTACCATCCATCCTTTAGTTTCGAAATAACGGCCAAAAAACGTGTGTTGCTATAGATCGTAACGATATTATTGGAACTTGACTAAAGAATTCTCCTCGAATCCCTCTTATAGTTTATGTAGATAACATAGTTCCCAGAAAAGAGGCTGAAAAAAAAGTAATGATAAATTCAGAATTGTATTTGCAAATAACTCAAAAAGTACACAAATAATGTTGAACGGTATTTTATTGTATGCACATGTAAATAAATTTGTGCGAATGCATAAAAGTCGAGAAAGAAATATTGGAAACATGCAAATTCGTATATTTTTCCTTAAAATGTTCAATACTGTTATGGTCTAATGTCGACTACTCACGAAACAATAGAGAGGAATAAAACTCATTGATCTTTTTAGTAAAAATAAGCATGTTTTGTGAACAATGCCTTAGTGGTGCTAACGTTTTTATCCAGGTCTTATATTGAAATTTTCCTCTTAAGAAATACAAGCTACATCTCTCTTTGTACCAAAACAATAAGTCTTTGTATGAGTACAATGCTGACTTAATATATCTTTAAGGTTAGCTGAATCTACGAACTGAACTATCCATTAGGGTAAGCCAATTGCTTATTAAGTACATGGTCATTATAAAGTGTGGATCTTTACCAATTCTGTGCGCGTTGAATGCATATTCCTGATAATAACGTATTGTTTATATGAATAACATTTACTAATATGGTTTATACATCGAATATATTATTTAAACCGAACATTCTCGCATGATTTACAATTATTGTTTATCGCAGTAAATAAAAAAATATTTATTTGTTTAGCCCGATGGTCAATGATAATTTGAGTTGGTTAATACATCAAGTTATGTTTATTCAAGAGGCTTTTGTAATTTAGTTTGTTCTTGGGATCATCTTCGGTTTCATTCTATAACAGGAACAATTTTGCTGTTGAACAAAAAGAATAAAGACAAGCTTTCGTCATCCCAGGCAAATATAAAAAAGAAGAGAGATAACTCATGAGTCTTTCATTTGACAGATAGAATAGAAATTACAGCTGAATTATTATGTGTATATGCATATATATATATATATATATATATATATATATATATATATATATATATATATATATAAGTTAAGCGTCGGCGGACTCTAACAATAAAAAAAAAGAAAGGAAAGGGCTTGAAATGCAACACTCACGGTTTCAGAAAAGATACTGATTTATTCCTTTAGTAATCCTCCTTATATACATTTCATATGTTTATTTACATTCAGGACGGTATTAAGGCTGATATCGCCGGTCTCCGGTCTTTATCTCCCCCCCACCAGTTTACGAATAGGATTTTTCGGAAACTTAGATATTCCTAGATCGGAGCTAACGATTATCAGTCTTAACACCTTACAATTGTTTTTACAAGTATAAAGTTGAAAGAAAGTAAAACTCACTCGAGACATACAATAATACAAAGAAATAAAAAAAAACAGAACTAAACACAACACTTGCTTCCAAAAACAGAACTCTTAAAATCCTAAAAAAAACAGAGAAGAAAAAAAAAATAATACACTTTCCTCTACTGTATTGCTATGATTCTATTTACACATAAAAAAAAAATACACCATATTTTTGCTTAGACAACCAAAAAAAAACATATTTGTTATAACGTGGTGAGGGTACTACGAATCCGTTAGTTTATGTTCCGGTTCTATCATTGGGAGCTTCAATTGTTCAATGTGAACCGTTCTCCTCTTTCTAGGTTCATTAACGCTTTCGATCGTTAGTAGATTATGCTCCCTAATAGCAATCACTCTGAATGGACCCTCGTATCGTAACAATTGTTTCCCTCTGTTGGTCCCTACTCTACGGTACACTATTGTCCCGATCTTTAGATCACCCATTTGGTCACGTACGCGAACATTCTGCCTCTCTACCCGCTTCTCCTTTTCCCGCTTAATTTTCGCCGTTACTCTTCCCCACGTCTTTTCCATCTCCACCCTATTGCTCTGGATTTGCTCGACTAATGGTTCATTAACCGTTGTTTCCCCGCAATCTCGCCTTGGCCTGCGCATCCCGAATAGTACTTCCACGGGCGAAAATCCCGTGACGGAGTGAATCGAGTGGTTGTAGGCTGTTACCGCTTTCTTCATTGCAACATCCGGCTCCAACCCTTTTTCCCCCTGATACACCCGGATGTGATCACTCAGCGTGCTGTGCAACCGCTCAATGCCGCCTCTACCCTTAGGATGTCCCGGGGTGTTATAATGCCAACGAATCCCTAGTCGTTTCACCTCCTCCCTAATCGCGGCATTGTCAAACTCCCTACCACCGTCCGATGTGATCCTCTCGGGGACCCCGTAGAACTGCACCCAGGTTTGTAGGGCTTCCGCAACTGCGTTGGCAGACTTGTCCATGACCTGGTGTGCCATAGCTACCTTGCTAAAGACGTCGATGACCGTGACCCACTTGAACCCTCTCCAGGTAAATGTATCAATCTGGAGGTCCTGTAGTGGCATATTCCCCGTCGGTGTCTCTTCCTGAATCCCTCTGGGGGGGTGTCGATCATATTTCGTGCGCATACACACCTCGCATTTCCCTATGACCTCTTGGATGGATTTTTTCATGCCCCACCAGAAATACTTTCGACGTAATGCCTGCAGTGTCTCGTTCACGCCTCGGTGGTTGGTTTTCCCCTGGTGATAAGCTAATGTGACTGCCTGTTGCTGTTCCTCATCCTGTATAGTTTCCACTGCGTACTTACAACGGATGAGTGTTCTGTCCACACCAATTCGCTCGGATCTCCACATCCGCTTTATTTTATCCCATACCGTGTTATTCCCCACATAAAGATGGTGCGTCTTTCCAGGTTCCGTGGCGTCCTTCAGTGCCGTACAAATTTGCTCTTCACTCACCCCGGGTTGCGACCAGATGACGCGAATCTTGCTTTTCCCATATCTTCGATAATCTATTTTCATCATCCCTGCTACTCTCGTTTTCCAGATTACCTGACGATGCTTGTCATTGATGATGTCGTCTATCTCCTCCATTTCCACTGCTCTTTCCTCCGCTGAGCTCTCCTCTTCCGGGGACTCTCCCCTGTCATCTATACCGACGATATCCTCCGCTCCTTCGCCGTCGGGAGTCCATTCACTCAAGAATTGGCGCACGTCTCGCGATGGTCCTCCCCCGTCCTCTTCTACCGCGTTGATCATGATGGCCCTCGAGAGCCAGTCCGCCACCACGTTCTCCTTTCCCGGCTTATACACCACCTCTATATTGTATTGACTAAGGACTTCCTTCCATCGCGTGACCCTAGCTGAGGTTTCTTTAAGTTTCCCTACCCACTGCAGGGGTTTGTGGTCGGTGTGGACTCGAAACTTCCTCCCAAATACGTATGGCCTGAAATGGTCGATAGCCCACACTATCGCGAGTAGCTCCCTCTCCAAAGCGCTGTATCGCGATTCCGCACCCGTAAGCCGACGGCTCGCGTATGCTATCGGTCGTTCACCCTCACTCCCCCCCTGGGACAAAACGGCCCCTAACGCGTATTCGCTCGCATCGGTGGTTATATTAAAGAGCTTCTCAAAATCCGGGAACGCTAACACCGGCTCTGTCAGCAACCTATTCATACATTTTCGGATATTATTCTCCATCTCTGGTGTCACCACAATCTTCGCGCCTTTCTTCAGCAAATTGTTAATGGGTACCAAATACTCTGCCATCTCAGGTACGAATCTCCGGTAGTAGTTCAGCGTCCCAAGAAGCCTACGGATCCCCTTCACGTCCCGTGGTACCGCCATCCTTGTGATCGCCTCCACCTTTGCCGCATCCGGTCTGACCCCCTCGCTAGAGATAGTGTGGCCTAAAAAATTAATCCGCGTTTGTCCCAGCAGAGACTTCTCGCTTGACAATTTCAGCCCGAATTTCCGGAGCCTCTCGAATACTGACCTCAGATGTCCCACGTGTTCGGTTTCCGTTCTGCTAAAAATCAGCAGGTCATCCATATATACCTGACATACCGAGTCATCGATACCCCTCAAAAATTCGTCCATCAGACGCTGAAATGTTATGGGCGCATTCTTCAGACCAAACGGCATTCTTGTGAATTCATAATGCC